TCTCGATCTTCCCGACCGTAAGTCCCAAATCCTAGATCCTAGACCGATGCCCTAAACCCTAAACCCCTATCTCCGAAATCCCAAACCCTAAACCCTAATTCCACTCCACTGAGCCGCAGTCCTCTTGAAATGCCGGCCACTCTTGCACCTCACATGACTCGACTCCGCTGTGCTAATCAGCTGAAGTTGAAAGGGTAGTTTTTAGGGTTTGGGGCTATCATCTCAGTTGCCAGGACTCGAGACGATCCAAGTGCTCAGATATTTGGGGTCTTAGAGTGCCCAACCCCAGTCAGATTCCCGAATTTGAGATCTGAGGCCCCATTACTTATTTGGGTCCTACTTGGACCCTTCATTTGCTGGAAGCCCCCAAACGCGTTGCAGCCCCTTGCCTCAATGTTCAGCCGCTTGCGGAAGAACTCCACGATCTCAGCACCAAGTTGCTGATTGCTTCGTCTCAGGTTCTGCCGCTACCTAGACCTGTCACATACCCATCATAATCGCATATAGACCCATTGTTTTTCGGTGCAAGGCTATCATCTTGGGCACTCGGGGGAACTTCCATGCACATGCTGAGGCATGAGGCAGATCTCACATCTCTGTCGAAGAACTCCTATACCCAGACACGCTAAAGGATCCAAAAAATCGAACCCCAATAATCCCCTAGTTTCCCCAATGTGGTAATGGGTTCATATGAGGGGGGGCAGTTTTTTTGGATCCTTTAGAGGGACGGGGTGCGCCAAGGAAAGGCGGCACGAGTTGACACTAGGGCTCTGATCCATCTGAGCATAAGATTCACACCTGGGGGTTTAATGGTTAAGGGTCAAGGGTTTAAGGGTTAAAGGTTTAGGGTACTCAAACGAAAAAACACCATCTTGCTTTACCGTGGGGATCACAGCATCCTTATTGAACACGCTAATCCCTAATATTAGAACACCCCCCCCACCCCTCAACATTCAATAGTCCCAATAGCATCCCCAAGTCAGAATATTCAAGATTTAGGGAGGTGAGTGGTTTAAATACTAGGGGAAGGGATTTTCTAGTTGTTGAGGGTGCAGAGCGGTCCTCCGCATTTGGGTGGTTGTTGTACACGATCTGCGGGAAGTCGATCAGGGTGATTTTCTCCTCCTGGAAGCTTTGGCATGTATCATTCGTTTAAAACATGATTCTGCTCTTGTGGGATGGCATATCCAGAAGTTAAAATAACCCTGAACCCTCACACCCTCAATCAACCCTAAACCCCGAAACCCCTAAATCCCTAAGTGCCTAAACCCCCAAGAACCCAATCAAAAACCCAAAAACCTGAAGGCCACCTCATCCAGCATGAGGTTGAACTCGTTGAAATCGCCGTGAACTATGCCAGCTCTAAGCAGCCTCCGCTACAGCTCTGCTTGAATATTTAGGTTTTATGGGTGTAGGATTTAGGATTTAGGTGCTCAGGGTTTGGGGTTTAGGCTTTAAGTTTAGAGGTTTAGGGTTTAGATTTTGGGCTGGTATTTAGGGTTTGAGACCTTGGGCTTTAAGGTGTAGGTGTTGATAGATGCTGTACTTGCTGCCCTATGGCGACCTTATGGTAGTTTTCCACAAATATGCTGCAGAACCCACTAACAATCCCCAAGTCCTACAAAGCATACCGTGACGCCTGCACCGAGCACCTTTTTCTTCATACCCCTACAGTATATCACATTCCCCAAAGTACCTGCACCTACTCCACCAACCTCCTTCCCTCCATCCCAAACCCTAAGCCCTAATCCCCAAACACTCATCCCTCATCCTTAAGCCCTAAACCCATATCTTTAAACCCTGGACCCTTGGCCCTACACCCTAAGCCCTAAAACCGTACACCCAGATACCTGCCTCACAACGAGGCGCATGAGCCGCTCCAGGACCTCCCCAGACTGTTTGTGATTAGCGTTTAGGATTTAAGGTTTAAGGATTTATATACGGTTTAGGGACTAGGATTTAGGGTTTAGAGCTTAGGGGCTATATAGGGTCCAGGGATTAGGATTTGAGGTTTACGGATTAGGATTTACCGTTTAAGGTTCAGGGCGTAGGGATTATATATGCTTTAGGATTAGGATTAATGGCTTAGGGATCATATAGGATTTGTGGTTTAAGGCTTAGGGCTGAGGGGATTATATGCGGTTTAGGGATTAAGGTTTGGGGTTTAGGGTTTAGGGATTTGAAGATTGTCAGGTATCCCGGTGTTGCTACGGCGTCTTAGGAAATCCCTGGCACGAGCACACGAGGAACCTTCTTGACTCGAAGAGCACAACAGACGTCTTGATCTTGGTGAACTGTAAATTTTGCTACTTAGCTATAACTTATTTTAAGTGAATGTGATGCTGCATTTTCATGTTGGGCCTTGGGCCTACATGTGCAAGCAGAAAACAACTACAGACCTACAGTACACTGCTGGAGAAGGTATTTCTACACTCCTCCTTGGGTGCACAGCCTGCTTTCTTGAGCGGCGGGAAAAACTTAGCCCAACTCGGCTCCGAGGCCTTGCAAGCAATTGGTACACATTGTTCGCTGCTGTACGTCTGGGACGTGGCGTAGGCCCCAACAGTTTGGGTCAATGTGGACCTTGTTTCCCCCATCACGCGTGCAGAAGAATGGTCCTGCGTATGGAACTTGCGTGAATGGTACTTCGTATGGAATTTGCCTGATCTCGATGCGTGCTGCCATTGGCGGGCTAGGATCAGGAGTGAGCCTCAGGAATGTAGGCTCTGTTTGCATGCTTGCATCCACACAGGTAGGACGCTGCATTTGCGGTGGCAATTGCCCCTGCCCACCTGGGACTGGCCTCGGCGAAGATGAGGCTTCACGTGCAGGAGCCTCAATTGATGAGGCTGGTGCTTGCTGCTGCGCGGCTGCGCTGGTGCTTGCTCACCTGCATTGCTGAGTTTGGCTAGCAACACAGCAAAACATTCTGCTTCCTCAGGTGAAAGTGGCACTGCAGGATCTCTGTCGCACAAAGAAGTCAGCTCACGGCTCACGGGACTTTGCTTTGGTTGGTGAGGGTTCTTGCTTGGCTCTTAGGCTTAGCCTTGGGCCTGGCTACTTTAGAGCTGCTGCGAAGCGCTCGCAGGCGCACTGTGTTGGAACCAGCTCTTACACAGGAACGCGCTAACTCCCAAAATGCTACTGGACAAACGGCAAGCATCAAAATGAGAATGTACAGCTCTATGGAGGACTCCATGTCTAGGGGCTCTTTGACATCTTCAATGTTTGCGCGTTCGGCAACACCACACACACACACTGAACCAGCAGCGCAAACTTTGTGCCTATGACACCAAAGCCTGTGACACTTGAACGCTGAGTGGTAAACGGCACGGCTTCTTATGACAATGCCGCTACCTTTCGGTCCGCGATGTCTTTGAATTTCCACAATGCAACGAGTTCTTGAAGCCTGGCCTTAGGCAGAGGCTTGGTCCCAATGTCTGCTAATTGGGACTCACCTGGTTCGTGCACAACCTTCATGAAGCCTTGGGAAACCTGTTCCTTGAGACAACTACTGCGCAACCTCAAGTGGCGTGTTCGCCAGTTAGCTGTTGAGCCGTTTAGGAACTGCATGGCAGGCATGTTGTCTACCCGTAGCGTTAACTCGGGGGAACGTTGGGCAATCTCTGCATGGTGCCCTCGCAACTCTTCAAGAGCAATGCCCCCTCAACAGCTTCTACAAGC